GCAGTTTTTTAATAAACATTAATTTTCAAATTGTTATCATTGCAATATTTTAAATATTTTTTTGTTTTTTCAAAGTGTATTGTTCACTGTTTAAAATAAACAATAAAAATTAATACATAAACTGCTTCCGTTTTATTTTTGCGGACATTTAAAAGTAGTGTAGCTATCTATCCCGGACTTACCCTGCTATATATAATTGTGAGGGTCGTGAAAAATGTGCACTATGCAATACATTGTATCATTAATGTGACAACTATAGTCGCAACAGCAATGTACTCGGCAAATTGTATTCAAATACCTTTCTCAAACTTAACATTTGAAATACAATATAATATGAGATTAGTATACGGTTCGTGAATTCCATTCACGAATTCGCTTAAAGTGCAATTCGCGCATCAGTATGCAAGGTGTATTTATGACATTATGAGGATGCCGATGAAGAAGCTTTCAAAGCTTCAACATTAGGTTCGAGCTTTTGTGCGTGTAAGCTAAAACGCCTGCCTGCGGGTAGAGTTAATCCAACCTGATTTAACACTGTGACTTGATAGAGTGCGACGTCGTTTCGTGCTCGCCTTACGGATTACAATGGGACGGGTGTAATTATTTTCAACCAACCAACCTCGCACGACATACCTACATTGCACCGGATATATATATATACATACATACACATTCTGACAAGATTTTCAAACATAAAAGCTTCACCAGTAACAGTTGAAATTCACTTAGCAACTGCAGATAATACATGATTCAATCTGTTATATACTAAACATAGAAGATTTTACATCAAACAAGAAGTACACCAAGCATATATATAATTTCAAAAAAAATTAAATTTTAAACAAATTTTTATCATCAAATTATTTTTGAAAATTTCAACTTTGACGAAATGATAATTTTTCCGGCGCATAGATATTACACACATAAATGCGTTATTTACCAGAATTTGCATTTTACAGAAATGCATTTAACTGAATCGTTAATCAAATTACCCTTAAACTGTATTTTGATGTGAAGCAATTTTTATTTATAACCAAATCTTTATTTAATCTAATTGATAATCATGGGGAAAAAAAAACTTCATCTGGAACAGTGCAAAGTTTTATGAGTTAAAAGTTTTGAACGTTCATATGAACGAAATTTGTTTTGATACTTCTTTAAGTACGAATTTTATTACAAAATATTGTTTAAAATATCTAAAAAGAAGTTATTAATTTAATAATTGTTTAATTAACTGTTTTATTTCACATGGTCATCATAATTTTTAATAATTTATAGATTGAAAAAAATATTTCGTTCATATAAACGTTCAGAACTTTCGGCTCATAAAGTTTTATTAAAATAGTGAAAGTTTTAACTGAAACAATTAAAACTTTAACTATTCTAGTGAAACCTTTCGTTGTTCTAGGTAAATCATTTTTGTTTGCGTGTTTAATTGAATTTTTATATTTAATTTAATCAAATTTTTATTTAAGCGAATTTTTATTCTATTAAAATATTTATTTTATCAATTTAGTGAAACAAAACTTTGATAAAGGGTGAGTCCACATAGAAAAAAAATGTCACAATTCGATTAAATATATAAATTTAATACATGTATTATGTTAACTTTTATATATAAGAATTTTTGCGCACCTTTTGATTTATTTTCTTTTTGTGAAAGAAAATTTGATTCCACGCACTAACGTTTTTGAGAAATATTATAATAATTTTCTCTTTCAATATTGCAATTCTTGAGTTCAGTGACGTGTTATATTTCAACTTTTAAATTACACACTACTTTGCACACCTAGGTATATATATTCTCTTTTTTTTGCATTTATTCTTTGAGAATAATTGAATTACGTGAAATCTGAACTTGTTCGTTTTAAATAAAAGAATCCCGGAACAAAAAGCTTCCTTCCTTGTTGCAAAAGCTTGAAAGTTTAGTCAAGCATTTCATTTCATTTCAAAGTTATAATTATTTCTTATCAGTTTCAAAAGTTATGAAGGATATGAGAAAACGAGTATTGAATTTCTAATCTAAAAACTTTATTTATAGTGAAAGAATTATTTTCCAAATAACAAATTATTTTATATAGTTGAGAATTCTGTTTCAACTGTCACTGCGAAATAAAGGTTATATTAGACTTTTGTTTTATTACAAAGTACATGATTGACTAAAATAATTCAACGGATAGGTAGGATTAGCCAAAATTATGATAATAATCAATAAAAATTCCCCTTCGTTAATTACAAGAATTTAGTAAAATTGTATTTATTTTAAATCTTATTAGTTTTTATGTTTATTATAAATATAGAGTTTTTCTGTTTCAATTTTTCTCAAATGGAAAATTTAATAAATCATTCTTTTGACTCAGTGCAGTTACTAATTTAAATATCGGTATATATTTCCAATAAAATTAAAAGTGAACTATTTAAGTAATTGCATTTGTAATCGACATGTACGTAATGAAATTATTTAAAATTAAAATAATGGTCTACTTAATTAATTAAATGAAGTCTTTATTAGTTCAATGAACATTTGCATTTCTATACTGAACAATTGGATAATAAATTAAGAATTTAATTACTAAAATGTAAATAAAATAGTCACGAAGAATAATAAATAAAATATAAAAATAAATGAAAGCATCAAATTAAGAAGCATATTTGATTGTCGATTTACTTTTTATCTTAAGAAAAAAAAAAAGAAAAAAAATGTTACTCCGATGTTAATCATATAGGTGTTGGATATATGTTTCTTAGAAAATATCATTAGCAAGTACATTTCCGTGTTTTTGCAACAAACTTTACTTTATAACCGCAGGCGTAAACCGAAGCAAACACTCATATATAACATCTCATACATAAAAGTTTCACGACTCAGGGCGTAAACCAATCTCGAGATTTCGAGTTGTTTTACCTGGATTTATATATACACATACGACCATTGTAAATTTAAAACTTTTTTTTTTAAAACACAAAAATTCCAATATTCACACATTAACTTTGACTTTTGTGAAAATTTAAATCCTCCTTTTTTTGAGAACAGTTATATATATATCTTTAAAATTGTTCAATGTATGTCTTTCAAATTTCCGTTATTTGCGCCAACATACGTTCACTGTGTATATTTATACATAGGTATATAAAACGAGGGGATGTTGCGAAAATATCAATGAAAACCTCGTAAATTCAAGGTAACACAATTTGTGAAATTGCAATTCCGTTGACAAAATTACAAAACGTGGTTTAATATCGTAGATATATAAAATACCAGTTGCTGAAAATATTGATCCAACTTTTTTTTTCCACGAAATTTAGCACGAAAACTTTTCACTCCAAAAAAGAGTTATTTCACGTTTTTAAAAATAAAAAAATATTTGCATAAAAATTCAATTTGCAACAGATGAAAATTATTGCATAGAGAAAAATGTAAATAAGAAAAGAAGAAAAATAAATTTGTAAATAAAAAAAAAAAAGGAATCATTTCAAGTAAAAAAAATAAATTAAGTAAAAATTTAACAATATAGAAAAAAAATCAAAAAAATAATTATAATATTGAAATTTTCATATACTGCAGGCAAATAATGTATACAGAGGGGAAAAAAAGTATAACGATATGTATTAAAAGAAAACGACATAAAATATGAAGCTATAACGACATAAAAATGAAAATCAACGTGCAAGCCTGAGAGAGAGATATGAAAGTAAAGCTGCATCTCTGCGAAAGCTCGTAAGTTTCGTTCTCTCTGAATGCAGCAGATGAAGAGGGATTATCCATCTCTGCTTCATAGTTGTAGATTATGATTATGATCGTTACATTTTTTTTGTGACTTATCCCGCCTAGAAAAAGCTAAGTTTAATTAAAAACTTCCATGTATTAAAAAAATTTAAGTGAGTACTTAAGTGACGTCCTGTCTCGTTATATTCAATCAAGTCAAAAAAAATTTCATTCCGGATATAATTTTACATTACATATATTCAGTGGAAAAAAAAAATATTTATTTTTATTCAAGTAATTGGTATTATGAAATAAATATTTATTTGAAAATAATATAAATAATTTTCGTAAATTTTTAATTGGTCAATTAAACGATTATTTTGAATGAAATACATTTTTTTTTTGTACTAAAAAGGAGCTTAAAAACTTAAACCAAAATTAATTCTCAACATATAATTTCATTTATTTCTGGCGCTTTTATTCTCGCTTGGAATATATCACGTATTTGCGTATCTCTGAGGATTTTAGGTGTACGCGGGAAAAGCTTTTGTCTTTTGCATTTAGAGATTCAGAAATGTCTCAGGTTCTCGTGGGTTGGCTCCAGGTGGAGATGAGGGTAGATCCATATATATTTTTGTTCTTTTATAGGACTCCACTTTGAAGAGACTTCCACCTAAACTTTATTCTCTCACAGAATAATCAAAATTATAATCTTTAATCTTTTTTTTACAGCTTTCGCATTTTCCTTATTACCAAAGAGATTGCTTTTTAGATACTGTCTTCTCAACTGACATTTTAATTCTCGAGGAAGTCAATTTTTTTTGTAATTTGTTTTTCTCGGTGAAAATCAATTGATTAATTTTTTTTTTTTAATATAAAGAAGAATTGTTTTTTAATTATTTAAATAATCAAAATGTATCGGAACCCCAAAAAAAAATTTTTTTTTCTTCTAAATATAGAAAAAGTCAATTTAGAAAAAAAATTCTTGTTGGGAAGTCCGCATTTTATTTTAAATTTTAATATCTAGTTTTTGTGTATAATAATAATAACAACAATGAATTCTTGTAATTTATTATGCTTTTCTTTTTCTCTTCGATAAAATTGTTGGCACAAAACTGAAATAAACTTTTCTTTCGCAAAAGAAAAAATAAAAAAAATATGTTTACAACTTCTGGTGGAATATATTTAATTATGAATGTGTGTGATGACATTTGTTATTTATCTGTTTGGAGTTTGTCCAATTTCAATTAGAGATTTAGCTTAAGATTATAACGAAAAACAATTGTTTGTTTAGGGAGGATGAACACATAGTTGGCTCGTACCTGGAGATAGAAGATATTAACCTGGAAGACTACGGTGAATACACATGCGAAGTTAGTAATGGAGTTGATGATGAGATCACTTTACCAGCTCACGTCTATCGACAAGGTACAAAAAAAAAAACCTTAATTTTATAAGAACCGCTTTTTCTTCTCTTATTCATTCCAATGAAATAACAAAATAGTTCTTAATATATGGAAAAAAAGGGAGATAATAGTAAATTAATTTTCAATTTCATCATTTTTCTCTGATGGTAAATGAAAAAAATTTTAAAATAAATATCCTGATTGTTTTTCGATATTCGATAAAATTGATGTTCAATATAATATTTTTAAAAATACAATTAAAATATAAGATAATTTTTATTTTTATTAAATTTATATGTTGGAATTTGTAAAAATCAGATTGTGAATTTCATTTGTATTTTAGTGTGTAAAATATTTTCCATTAAAATCTTCAAATCTTTTTACCTCAAAAGGTTTTTCACATTTTTATTTATGTATATATTATATATATATATATACTTTTCGAATGAAACTCTTTTAATCTCAGAACGTTTTATATTACAACTTTTTCAAATGCAGGTGCTTTTTCTCTCGCAACGTCTTTTTCACTTTAATGTTATTGGTTTGAAAGTTGAACTAACGTCGAAACTGCGCGAATATATTCTAAAAGTTTAATCGATTCTTAAATTAAATGTTGTTTTTCTTTTGTATATATGTATAAGAATTTTCAAAACTAATTATTTAAAACTAAAGTTTATTTTTATTTCTAATAAATTTCATTTTTTTTATTTATAATGGTGGTTTTCATTTTCAGTTTATATAAAAAAAATTTTATGTATTGATTCAACACTGTTTTAGTATTTCTGCTAAACCTTAATTTTGAAATTTTCTTTTTCATGAGAATGACCCATATGTGCTATATATAAATATGAAATGCCAGAAAACGTAATTTTTATCTCTTGTATAAAAATTATGAATATTAAAATGGTGAAAATGTTTTAGATGAAAAGAGCGCAGGCATGTGAAAAGGGTTGAATGTCGCTGAATTATTCAGTTGACGGGTCGCGGTGCGGCGCGTTGGGTTAAATTTGTTTTTAGAACGTCAGTAGGATAACGTTGGACGATTTTTATTTGCAGAACCACAATTCACCCTAGGATTACCAAACGGGTCATGGAGGAAATCCCTTCTCCTTGCGGTTTTGGTACTGATCCTTCTGTGTTCAGCGGGTGCTTTTTACGCCCGATGTTGGCTACCCTTGGCTCTTCTCTGCCGAGACAAATTCGCTACTCTCGAGGAAAACGGTAATTATCACAAAGTCACATACTTTTTCACTAGCCTAATTACCGGCTTAACTGCGAGCTTAATTCTACATTCCGCCTGTACTTTGCTCTAACGTTTTACCCCCGCACCACATACCAGTAGAGTGCGGCAAAAAAAAAAGAAAAAAAAGGACTCGCGGAGAATAAAATCACGATCATTAAACCCGAATTGTCTGTCTCGTTGTTTTAAATGTACGAGCTCACCGGCGGAATAATGAGCTAATTATGTTCAGTTGATTAATTTTTACGAGAAAGGCAGAATTAAAAAAAAAAAAAAAAATGTTTTATACATAAAATTTGTGCTTCTTTTATATTTGATAAATTCTTTATTCACCTGTTTCTCATTACTGAACCTGAGATGCAAAAATCTAATGAAACTGAAATTACTGAATTAACAAATAGTTTTTTACTAAAATGCCTTTAAATATAATCTTCATTACATCCTCTTAAAAAAATTTAAATTTAACTCCAAACGAAAAAGGAAAGACAATAATTTGAATTAGTTTTTTTTTTAAACTGTTTAATTAATTTGTAATTAATTTTAATTCACAAAATACATGATAAAATTTGGAAAAATAAAAAAATAATTTTTTAATTCTTTTTTTTCATCAAATTTTAAAAGTATAGTATAAAGAACAATTTTCAATATTCTTAATGTAACATTATAATGAATGTATAATATAAAATTATTGTGATGAGATTGATGAACTGTATGGTATATCTTTATTGTTTTTATACTCGAGTTTATTGTCATTCCAGTTTGTGTGAGCGAGGCGACCGGTCGAACATAGCTAATATTGAATGGAGATACGAGACACGTCGCGTTTTTGCATCCAATTACCCAACTGCATGCGACTACCGGATATTTTATTTTCATTTGCTGTCTATTGTTCCACGATACAATGAATTTCGAATCGTAGGGCATTTGTCGAATTTGCCGCAGTTCGCAATTCAATTCCTACTCTTTGAAATGCGTTACCATCTCTATTTAGATATTTGAAATGTCCCTCTAAATAAGATCACAGAAATTTTTTTTTTTTTTTTTAAAGGCATTTTCAATGAGTTTTTAATAAGTATTCTTTAATTGATTTTTTTTACATTTATTAAATTAAAATATTATTTTTCAAACATTTATTTTATTTATTTAATATTTTCCTATGTAATTGCAATATATAATTAATATCATGTTGTTATTTATGAAATGTAGTAATTATTGTACAATTAGTAGACGAAGAAACAGATTATTTGCATATACCAAACAAAACTGATTAACGCTTGCAGTCAGCATTCTTGCAATCAGGGAATTAAATACGGCTGACTAAAATCGACCACATTCACTGCGTTTGCATTCACATTGACGGTGATAATTATTGCAGATACAAAATATTGCTAATACTTTTGGTTTTTAAATTTACTCTATATGTGCTTTTAAATCAACTTTAATATATTGGTTTTATTTTTTCAAAATATTATTATTTTTTATCTTTAGTTTTTACTGTCCAATAATTATTCCAATAATTTTATATCTTTATTAATTAATAATGCCTTTATTAATTTTTTTTATGTAAATTCAAATAAATTTTAATAACGATTTTATTTTTTTCATTTTTATTTATATTATTTATTTAATTTTTTTGATACTTTGTATTTTTTATAGAAAAAACATTTACATACTTTTTTCACAATTTCCGTTTAATTTTATCAATTTGAAAAATGATAATTATACCAATTATTAAAAATTCTTTTGTTTTTATTTTTAGATGGAAAGGAGTGCGATGCAGTAGTGTGCTATCACGAAAAGGATTCTAATCACGTTGTTGGCATCATAATTCCCACTTTAGAGACTAGATACAGATATAAATGCAGTACACTGGAAATTTCCTCTTTAACTCATAATTGTAAGTAATAAGAAAGATATAAATAGGTAAATAAACTAGTTAAACTAATAAACTAGTTTTGTATTATCAAGAAAAAGGAAATTTAAAACATATTTTAAAAAGTACATAATAATAATAAAAAATTCTTTTTTTTTCAAAAATTTTAGCCAATTTACAATCATATGAAAAATACATTTTTATAAATTATTTTTTAAATTTAGTTTTTTAATTTTAAGAAATATTTTGTTTATATTTATTATGTATTTTTAAAGAAAAAAAACTAACTGTAATTTATTATTTATGTGATATTTTTAAACAGGAGAATGAATAATGGCAAAGTGTTTTGAAGATGCAACAGAAATTTTATAGCTAGCACTTGAGAATATGAGCCCTATAAAACGAGTGTATATATATATATATATATATGAAACGTAAGATACGAAAGTGTTTCGATATTGACGGAATTGACGAGAATAATTGAAATCTCATAAAAAAAACTGTTTTTCTTTTTAAGGTTAAGGTGGTTTTACAAAAAAAAATTCACTTTGATCTCATAAAGAATTTTCTTTAAGGGTATGTCCAAGCAGTGAAATTGTAAACAATTTTAATGCCTTGTATACATTTTATTGCTTAGTATATCACAACTTGGACATACACTAAAAATTCTACTAAAATTATAATTTAAAAATTTTTCAAATTTAAAATTTTGTTTCTAAAAATTATTCTCTTAATTTTATATAATTGAAAATCTCTTGAAATATTTTTATTAGGGTCAAGGAGAAAATTTAAATTTTAACTGAAAATCAGGTCCAAGTTAGAGAAAAACAAAATAAAATTTTTTGTGGCTACCTTGATTTTACTATTTTAACTATTTTTATATTTTTTTCTTATCTTATCTTCTATTTTTTTCAGAAAACATTTCTTTCTTTTTCTTCTTCTTCTTCTTCTTCTTCTTCTTCTTGCAAATTGACACTTTAATAGATAGTTATTTGCAATTTTTCAAAATTTAGTATATGTATTGAATTTTCTCTTTGAGCTGAGTATAAAACATTTTGAATATTCAAGAATATTCTTTGCATATATATAATATATATTGCGAATTGAGTTTGTGTGCGCATATTGCAAAAGTTTTTAAATTTTAATTCAAGGGTATATATTATATAATCAATGCGGCTTTTTCGTAGAATTCGCCCTTTTGTTCATCACTATGGGAATAAATATATATATATTGCAATGCGGTTTGTTGTTGTTATATAGAGTTCCCAGGAGATTCGTGAGACTCTAGTTGGTAATAGAGATCCTTCAAGATCACAAAATCACGAATCAGAACTTTGCAAATTAAATTAGAAAGTTCCTCTTGTCTTGAACCAACTGTCTCGTTTGTCTCACATAAAATAGCTTTGAACCGCAATGAAATACTATTGCGATTCTCTTAATTATTATGCAAAATTCATTTTACGATTTCATAAATTCCCCCATTGAGAGTGATATTATTTTCTTTATTTATGTCACATTCATTTCAATTAATAGCCTTCAAAATAATTTCATTCTCCACATAATTAATATTGTTGTATATTCAATTTATTTATTGTAAATAAAATTGACAGAAAATAATGGGAAATTAATGATAAAATCTATATTGGGAATATAGGTATTTAAATATATATAATATATAAATGAACACATCCATTTGTATTAATAATTCTAATATTACAACTGAACTAATTAACAATAAAGGATCAATATAATTTCAAACATAGATAGAATATTTCTTTATTTAAATTTGTAAAAAAAATGTCAATTTTCAATTGCAGGGTCTTTGGAAATTGGAACACACGCAACATCAGCGCGAAGAGTGATTTTGATCCTGAGTCCAGCATCATTGAGCAACAATTGGTCAGATTCAAATGTTGCATCTGTCTTGAAGCAGTTGTCGAGTCTTACGACAAGAACAATTGTTGTTACATTGAAAAATTTACCAAATTTAACGACAATGACAAAATCTTCGAGACGAAGTTACGAGGAAGGAATTGTATTTGATCGATTAAAAATTTTGCATTGGGATGAAGGAGGTGATTTTGGGGCTGGTGGTTATAAATTTTGGTATAAATTAAGACTCGCCATGCCGCCAATTCGACCATCTGGCTATGAATCGGGATGCCAGTCGGTTGCAATGATAGTACAAGCGAATGGGAAATCAAGTCAACAAAAAGCACATTCCCGCGAGAGTCTCGAAGTTCTCGTTTAAGAGGATCAACGCTATATAATTCCTTCTTCGAACTCAGGGATTAGAAATCCCAAGAGCTCAAAAAGCGCTAGTCAAATAAAGTCTTTGGAATTTTAGGACAGACACTGGAAAATATGTTTAAGGAACATATTGGAAAATTTTTCTCTGACTTATTATTATTCAAGAGTTTTTCAAAAATAAGAAAAATTTTTCATTTTAAAAGATTGATTTCATTGTAAAAAAAAAAATATGGAAATTTTCAATGAAGATTGATCATTTAATGGGACATTTTTTCTGGACTTTGTATTTATTTTGAAAAACTGTTGAAATAAAAGTCGGAGGCTTAAATAAGATATTTTTATTCAGTTTTAGAATTATGAAAGATATTTTTTTTCTTGTATATAGTTGAAAGTGTCTTATCGATAAGGTTGTTATAGATTTAATTGAAAATCAAAATTAACGAAAGGATATGAAAATTATTGTCAGTCAAGACAAATTAAATAGAATTTGAAGAGAAAAAGAATAATTTGACTGTAAAATTTCATTAATATTCGAAAAAAAATGTAATTTACATTTTTTATTTTATTATTTTTGAAATGGAATTTAATTTTCTTTTTTTTTTTTGAAAATATCTTTGATTCTAAGACACTAGAATCCCAAAGACATTTGTTTCGCGCATTCCGTCAAGGTTGCACATTGTAGGTTTTTTTTTCTCATAATAGAAATCCTGTAAAAAGATATGTTGAAATAAAGAAAAATGGGAATAGTCTTTGTGAACAGATTTTTATTCCCATTTTGATATTCCGCCGTTTTGGAAAAAAAATTTCCTTCGCAAGAATTTTTGCGTATAGTGAAATGTGGTGGTTTTGTACAGAATTGAAATATAAAGCGAGAAGGAACGTCCCTTTGACGTTCGTTAGAAATTCGAATTCGTCGTTGCTCAGGTGGAAATATTTCTCTCTTCCTAAGGAAAAATCTAGTCAAAAAAAAAAAAACGATCTTTATTTTCTCATAGCATTGGACTGTGATTGACGATAAAATAAATCTCACTCTTTTTGCCACCAGCTTTTTCCTGCGGAACAGAACTTAGAAATTCTCGATCCAGATGTGACTGTCGGTTTTAGAATAATAGAAGATATCTTGAATTTCTTACGATTTTCTTCTTCTACTTTTTCTTTTATTTTTTGTACTGCGGACAAACACTGCCAAAACTTCTTGGACGAGAGAACATGTGTTTAATAACTGAATAATGTACTTTACAGCCAAACACACCTGGACAATGAACGATTGAATAAAATATTACGAGTCTTCCTTCTCGTACACAAATATCTTTTTTTTTCGACGAAAAAAGTCGAAAACAATGTTTTGTTTATATAGGAATCTTTTCCATAAAAAAAAAAAAAAAAAAAAAAATTTGTACATATTTTTGATAGTCGAGCACAAAGGTGCCATTATTTATTTAATATTTAGTTAGAGCTCTTATTTATGTTGCAAATTATGAAAAATGAAAAGAAAGTTGATATTAAATTGTATAAATATCATCAATGTTATATTTTGTTTATTTCATGTGGAATTGTAACAATGATTTTTATAATTCGACTCGACAAATTGTTGATATTTTTTAAAAAAATTTTTTGAAAAGAAATTTTCAATTTGTTATTGTTTTTTTCATTTATTTTTTTTTCTTCTTTTAATTACATTTAATTCGCAATTAACAAATGATGCGTCTGTGTTCAAGTCGCAACTTAAATATTGTACTGTAATAAATGTAATAGTCTTATATTATAATAATCACACAGCGTATAGTCGTATAAATTATATTCATAGATGATATGTATGTATAATGTACATGTATAATAATAAGTTTAGTTAATTATAAGCGATATTAAAGCAGTGAGCTTAAGTTTAATGATACGGTAATCTCTTTACTGTCAGTATTACGATACTTGTAGTATACTTGTCTCGCGACCTCCTGTTCGTTAAAATTTCTAACGAGCAACCATTGCGAGCTAAGTAAGCAGAGTATAGTTTAGCTGTTTTCTTTTCTTCTTTTTTTTATATATATGTAATCTATTTAAAACTTTCCTCCATTTTTGTTTTTCTACAGAAAAAAAATACATATCTTAATGCAAATTTTTTGCAAAAATATACAAATTTTTTATGTATGCGAATTTTTTATGTACACTGAAAAATACATGCGTAAAATTTTTCACGGATCAAAAAATTAATTATGTCTGACTGCATATTTATTGGAAATAAACTATTTCTTATATTTAATTGCCATTTGTAATAATTGTTTTTATTTTTTCAAATATATATATTTTCTAAATGTGTTTCTCATATTTTTTTTACAAAATTTAGAAAATTTGTTTTTATAATTTGGAATCATATATCATTGTAAAAAATTTGTTCTATTTTTTTCTATGTACCTACATTCATTGATTTAATTCCTTATAATTTAAAAAAAAAATTATGTGTTTGTAATGAATTAATTATAAAAATTTAATTAATTAATTATTTTCTATATTTTTTTCAGATAACTATTATTGTAAACTTAATTAATATTTAATTATAATTATAAAAATGTGATATTGGTACGATAGAATATATTATTGTTACTACTTTATATTTGTTTTTTGTTTACATAAAAATTAAAAAATAATTATTTATAAGAAACATTTAAAAAAATATATTATTATTATTATTATTATTATTATTATTATTATTATTATTATTATAACTTTAAATTTATGCTTAAATATTTATAACTCCCAAACAATTATTGGAAATTGTTTTAAAAGCAAATGTCTATTGTGATTTCCATTCAACTTTTTTCATGAATGGAATTTCTACACACTGCTGCATACAGGGAAATATTTAAATCACAGTACACGCAGATAGTAATTATCTCTAAGATTTCTTACTTTCCATTCTTTAATAAGTAGTCTCCGTCGGTAAAACAGATTTCAATGTTATCCAGTAGTCATAGCTTCAGAAACATTGTGACAGATGGCGCTAAGTGACATTGTCAATTCACAATTCAAAATTTAGCTTAACATTTGAAATACTTATCAATGACAATTTCCCCAATAAAAACAAGAATTGAACAAGAACATCCTAAAAGAAAAAGGACAATTATCAAATTTTTAACAATGGACATTTAATTAATCTGTTGAATAATTAATTTCGGAATATATCTTGCATTCCACTTGTTACTGAGACCAGTTTCCATAAAAACAAACATAATACAATCGAATCGAGGGGCGCATGTTTATCCTATAAAAATCATTAGGTAGAATTTTGATTTGAAAGAATTTTATTAGATATAATTATTTTTTAGATGAATTTTGATTTTTCGAATTAGAACTTGACAATAGCTTTTGTCGGTAAAGAATATTTCCAACAGACATTTAAACATAGTAGTATAAACAGAATTCTTTGCGGATGCAATAACATCTGTCGATAAGTTAGATAAGGATAAACTTTTAAGAAAATACCATAGATGGCTCTACTAATTCAATATATTGCGCTTCTCAAACATTATTTGGAAATTGATATTGTTAATAATTTCTTCAGTATTTTATAATATTGAAATTTAGAATATCAATCGTAATTTGTGTCTTGACCCGTTTAGATGAGTGAAAATTTTGTAATTTTAAAAGCTTAATACATTTAAGAGTGCTCAAATCCTTTTATTTTTGCAATCAACTTTTTTTTGAGTCAGTGCAGTAAGTTATTTCTTCTATGATTTGTTTGATAATTTGTCATACGGTTTCCGTAAACTAAAAAGCTCTATATAACAATTACATACTTTGACCTCTATATACTCTTAAAGGTCATAACAATTTAGGATGGGAAATCCCAAATATAATTAAATCAGTTGCAATTTGTGTAAGGACCTGTTTAGACGTGATAAACGGTAGTGTACATTTTGTAATTTTAAAAACAAAGTTTGTCTTTGTTAAATGTATATTTTCTTTTTTTGTTTCGAGAGTGTTTGAAATGCTTAAAATTGCGATCGCTTCAATCTTTAGAAAAAGTACTCAGATAGCATGTAACCTTGCATGGCAAACTTGCCGCAAGCTTCAAATGTCCCACCTAACCCAAGCTTGCATGGTAAGCTTACCGAAATATTGCAGTGTAAGGTTACTGCAAGATTGCACAATAAGCTTGCACCAACTTTGTTACAAGCTTACCGTGCAAGATTACTGAGGAATCTTGCGATAATCTTATTGTGCAAATCTTGCAGTAACCTTACACTGCAATCTTTCGGTAAGTCGGGTGGGACCTTTGAAGTTTGCAGTAAGCTTGTGACAAGTTTGCCGTACAAGGTTAGTAATATTGCACGGCAAGCTTGCCACAAGGTTGCTGCAAGCTTACGTGCTATTTGGGTAGTTTTTTATTTTTTAAATTTAATTTCGGGAGTGTTTCAAATTTCTTAAAATCGTGTGTGTTTCCGGTAGGATCTTAATGTCCAAAATGATCATCATAATTGTAGACAAAGGTTTGAGATTTTTTTTTTACAATTAATTACATGAAATTGTTTTTCTATATATAATTTTTTACCTGAAAAAATTTTTGCAACAATTCTGTTATTTTCCGCGTGAAAAATATTTGTTTTTATGTTTAATCGCTGTAAAATTAAAACATTGCAAAATATATTTTTTTAGATAAAAATTCATAAAATTTGTCATTAAAAAAAATAATTATTTAAAAATCATTGATCATAAACGTTGTGGATAACTTCAGCATCATAAGTTATGAACGTTCAAATGAATGAAATAATTCTTTTGATGTATAAATTATTTAAAAATTATTACAGCAATAAAAAATAAAAAAGTACATTAATTATTTAATAAATTATTAATTTATTTTTTAAAAATAAAATTTGAAGTTATAAAAAAGTAACAAAGCAATTGAAAAATCAAAGATAATTATAATAAATTTTCGATGAAAGTAAATTTTTATTAAATTAATTTTCTAATTCATTAATGAATTATAGAATAATCAAAATAGAATATAAATAGTTTGTCACTGATGGGTTATTTTTATTTGAAAAATTGGAATAAAATATGGTATAGTTATAATTCGATTATCGTTATATCTTCTTCTTTATACTTGTTCAGAGAGAAACATTAATCATAGTCGTTGTGGGGCTTAGAGCATCCGGAAACCATAATCTTAGGGTTCGAAGGTGCTTTAGACCTATAATTCAAGGCACAGGCTCCCGCGCTTTACGTCGTAATGAATGTAATTATATATTGGTAGAAAGAGATGTATAATAACCATTCAGGGTGGCACCCTTTGCACGAATAAGAAAAGTTTCGATTTCGGGAGCAAATTGCAGAACATTCTATATGGAATCTAGTCACACGTAGAATTTTTTTTTCTATATACACATATATGTATATATATGATTCCTCCAATTTACCACACAGACAAATAAATGACCTATCAAAGCTTCGTATCATTTTGCTTCGTAATTGTTTAAAATTAGGTTCATCCTTCAAAGTATAATATGGTCATATCTCTGGAATTTTTATGTCCCTCTGATATATTTTGATAATTTCAAAAAAATTTTACCTTTTGTTAGATTAATTGTTCGTACAAAAATTTTTGTTAAAATTTCTTGTCTTACAAAATAATATAGTAAATTTAAGAGGAGAAATTATAAAATTGAGAAAGCAAAGAGATAAAAAGTGTCTAAGGCGGAGACATAGAAATATTGGAAGTAGGAGTTTATTTTAAACAAATCTTCAAACTGACAGAAATAATTCACATGATTGAATCTGCCGCAATGACATTCCGTTCGGTTCTTGGGACGATGGGTTATTAAGCGAGACCTGCTATTAAAGTCCGTCGTCGTTCACCCTTTTCCTTCCTTCATTTTGCTTCCCACTGTACCATGCTTGGAGCCAGAAGAGAGCGGCTTTTGTTGATTTAAGGCGATAATACCTGTCTGCAAGAGTTTTTATGTTAAAAAAAATGAAAAAAAAAAAAAAAAATAGTGGACGGCGCATATGTGTAATTATAGATTCGCATCCTCCGGAACTCCTCGGACATCATTCCGTTTTACCTGTCAGATTTCTCCTCCGAGTCAAGCGGGGAATTTACCGTGTCTACTCTTCAACGATCATGATTATGTATAAAGTTGTATAATTTATAAAAGAAGTTGCACTTAATATAAAAGTCAAAAGAACTCGTGATTCTCATTAGGATACCGCGAGTAGTATTAAAAATGTAAATGAAACAGAAATGCTCAGGAAATTAAAAATTAGCATCAGTTGTAGAAAGATAAGCAAAAATATAAAAACTTGTTTAAACTAAGTTGTAATAAAACATCTTGTATAAAATAATTAAAATGTATTGCCGTTTTTTCATCTTATTTTTTTTTTTTTTTTGTCTTATATATATATATATTTAGCGCGAAAAGATGTTGAGCAATAATTATAAATGGGATCGTAAAAATATCAAAAACAAGATAGTAGATCGTGATTTAACTTTATTGTTTCAGGGTTTTTCGAAGAGTTTTTGGCTGTTGCAAGATGAGGCATATTATGAGTCTGAATTAGTCAATTAAGAAACCAACGGGCTAATCTTGGAAGAAATTTGAACCGTGAGAAAAGACTGGTGAGTCAAAATTTTTATTTCAAAACTGTATATATGAGGTGCTACATATTGTGATAAAAAGAAGAACTATTATATAGTAATAAACGTCAATCATAAAATTTCTCATAGAATTGTCTATATATTATTAATGCTATACAGTATAGAACCCTATGGTTATCCGAGGTAATATGTGGACCAAACCTACCTCGGATAAGACAAAAACTTACGATAATCCGAAAATATTTATTACAATTTACCATTCTTATTGTTTAAACAATTATTTATTATAAACAGGAAAATAATTTTTTATAGAGGAGAGTGGGGCAAAACCGGGTACATTTTTGGAATTCTCGGTTTACAAAGAATCTATCAAAAAAATTAGTTCAAATCTCGTTGAAAATTCTTTCTTGAACATTAGAGAATGAGAAAATAATGGTCGATTGCATAAAAAAAAATTTTTTGATCAATTTAAACCAGGTTTTTCAAAAAAATGTCAGTCTTGGCATTTCGCACATGGGTAATATTTTGTTAAATATTGTAAAAACGGATTCTTACAAGAGGGTCAATTCATTATATTTCGAATGAAGTGGTCGCTGACTAATTTTTAAAAATTATAATACTTTGCAGGAATGATTTTGAAGTTATCAAGATCACGAAATGAAAAGAAT